AATCAATCAATCAATCAATCCCTCTCCCCCCACTCTTCCTGCTTCACCCAATGGTGATATTAGTGGGAATATTGCGTAATAATATATTATTTCAAACTTATTGTATGGAAGAGCTAGGTGTTTGCAGAGACCAATTATATTCTTGCAATGATCTTCGCAAAATCAGTAGGGCAGAGGAATTTTATGGAAATTTAGGGGTACAGTCGTGTCGGACGTAACAAGATTACGGTGCTCCTAATGACGCAAGCTTGAATTTAGATTTTAGTTTTTAGTTTTGAGTTTTTCATTTATCATTTTTCGTTTACAGTTTTCGGTTTCGGTCTTAAAAAGAGATAGTTTTTGGTAACTATTTTTTATTTTCTGTTTTTCCTTATTCGTTTTAAATTTTCGGTTTTCAGGTTGGGTATCTTTCTACCGTGAAACCTAAGGACTCATTCATATCAAAGGCAACAAGCAGCAAGCAATGAAAAAGATACTTTGGACCTGATTTATTTGATCATTGGCCACTGCTTCGTTGCTCGCTGCTTCTGGTATGAATGAACTGTAATGGGCGTCTCTCGCTCACGCGCCCGCGCCCGCGCCTTGCATATAAAAGCATCTTACTTCGACTCATAGTCTATTTGGCGCAACGTCCTTGACGGTGGCTAAGGTATTGGTGGAAGCGAGAGAGTTCATTGTTTTGAGTGAGACGTTCTTATACGCGCTACAGGGACTTGCTGCTCCACCGAATAACAACGAGTGGAAGGGTTTATAGGGAACCGAGGCTAGGAGTGCGAGAGATGCTCTTATATGGGACTTCTCCGACTTGTGACAGAAATAGTGTCCCGAGCCAGGTGAAAAGGCTACCCCCCCCTACGCTCCGGCTTGATTTGCTTCTAGGTTGCTGGCCGCTCCACTCTCGCTTCACGACTGTTTCCCTAACTTCTCTCTAGGACGCCATTAATGCCGCTCAGTGTACGATTATTCCGTTCGAAGTGGAAAGGTACCTTCACCCAATTTAAGTCGACACAATTCGGCGAAAAGCTTGTCTATTCTGCTCTAGCGGAAAATAGTCGAATGGTCAATGATGTAGCTTCAAGCCGAGTTGTATAGACTCAGTTTATGTAATAGGAAACCCTATTATTTATTTATTAAAACTTGTGAAAAAGCTTTTCAAATGAGACTCGAATTTGGGACAGTGATTACATTTCCATTTGTCTGATTTAGAAGGGATTGATCAATCACGTTTGTGTATTCTTCTCAAATCTTGGAAGTGATTGGTTAATCCTTTCTAAATCCCGTAGTTGGAAACCTAATAGAAGAATCTCTAAGCATGCACGCTAACAACGAGACTACTACACTTAAACAAAATATTGTTCACTTTACATGTAGAAAAGCTGTGAATTAAATTCATTTACTTATGTTATTGAATTCTCCGGGAGACCGGGGCTATTCCGTCACCTTTTTTTCAATTGCATTGTTCGTTAACAAAATGTCGTGCTTTTCGTAAGTATTATCTATAATTGTTTAGTGTATTCTATGACATTTATAGTACACAGAGTTTTATACGCCTGAAGAATGTGTGTCATTTGTAATAAATCGAAAAGTAAAAAAAAAGTAAAAATCAGAAAATCGAAAAATGCCGGAGTAAATCCGTCGCCTCCTTGGGGCTATTCCGTCACTCTCCTGTTAGTATTAAATAAAACATACTACAATATTTATTATGAAGTGAATGTATTCAAAAGATGTTTATTTATTACAAGATCGTAAAATACGTATTGAATTTTGTACGAAATCTAGTTTTAAAGTGGGAATGTAATCGGGGTCATCAGAATCCGTTATTTGTTGCAAATCCTGGACTGATTTTCGGGTTTTTCTCCTTGAAGTTCTTTTTTTGCGAGGTTTTCTCTCATATATTATGTATATTTTTATATTTTACAATATATTCAACATATATAATGTAATTGAACATTTGTTTATTGTTAACTTTACATAGGACACCGACTAGGAGTGACGGATTTACCCCGGAGGTTACTTTTACAATATTTTATTAATTAACAATTTACAGTTCCAGGAATGGAATTATTCTCATTGGGTTCTTATATTATTATCACTACGAAAAGCGAGGAACTCATCTTGGACAGTTAAATCTAACTTCCTTCTTCGAAAGAAGAAAAAAAGTGTGCTCGAAAGTCCATTTTGTCCGGAGTAGAAACTACTTTTTGCCTCGTAGCATTTGCTACATAACCTTTAATTTCACTAAACGCCGTCGGTAACACTTATCTATAGAGACATGTTTAAAGTAGGTAATTCTATGTTTCTAGAATTTACCATTGTTGTGATAAAGGGGGGGGGGGGGGGTTTACCCCGATGACGGAATAGCCCCGGTCTCCCCTAAATACTTTGTTTTTTACACAATAAAATAAAGATAGAAATATATCTGGAGAACTACAATTGACTTGTACACAAGTGTTCGTGGATTAAGGTTTAAAAAAATGTCTAAATAATTGACAAAAAAGTAATAATATTCTCTATAAATTATTCCAGTATCCATTTTTATGGAAAGAATACACCATTCTTATAGTTGATGAATAAAAATGCTTATACATATATCATTTCCAACCATATAATTTAGCCTAATTTCAGATTTCTATAAAATGCACAATAATGAACATTTTAAAATTTTTGTAACCAACATCTTTTAGGAAGAATCAATTATCATATACAAACGAAAAAACATGATGAAAATGCAGTTGATTTGTTGGTATGAATAATTTTTTGAAACACTGCCATTTTTTAATGATAATGATAACAATTTTTAAATGGGGTGCCGCAGACATCCCATGCGCCTGTTTGAGGAAAAAAACATGCGACTGTTCTCGGGTTAATGGTTACAGTTTCGGTTCTTAATTTTTCCGGTTATTATCGGTTATCCATTTCGGTTTCAAATACGGTTACAAACTCTGCTTAATATCTATATTTCTTTGCTGGAAATTTTAGCGATAACTTTCCAGTATCCACTGTTCCAGAATTTGTTCCTCGATGGCTCTTAAAATCATTCTAGGGCCTGGAAGAATCTTGTCGCGAAATTTGTTGCTTAATCGAAACTGTAGCGTGATTCTAGGCACACTAAATGTTATTGGAGCTCTTCATATTGATATTACCTCCTAATGAATGGCATTGAAAATCTTCTGAATAAATCCTTCTTTGCAAGCTGTCCTGATTGTTTTCGGTTTGTCTTTTACAGTGACTACACTGTGAGATTGTCCAACAGTTCCCGACTTGTCTCTTCCGGATTGCGCAGACATCCGAAATGTATATGCTATAATAATACAACAATACAGTATTTGTTAGTAGTTGAATAGTTCTAACATTACTAATATTAGAGTCAATGGCGAAGGGCCAACAATTGTTTTTATCAAGACAGTATAACATACAGTTTTCGGCCTGCTCTGCCAATTATTGTTTTCGTCACACATGTAACTATTATCGGAGAAAATGCAGAATGACAGCGGCACGAGCAGCGGAGCGTGCTTTACTCGTGTTGTTCTCGTAGCGAGGTGCGCACCAGCAAGACTCGAGTTGACTCGTCGTTGGCAACGTGATAAAGAGCGCTTGGTCGTGCGAGTCAAGTAGCAACGCACACTAACCCAGTACAGTGAGATGAGACACTAACAGTATTGCTATTTAAGGGCGTGAGATCAATTTAAGTTCATGTTTAAATTATAACGATTTGTGCACGTTGGTTACCACGAAGTTTTACAGCGTTAAGAGCCGCAAAAATGTCACGTTTCATCTGATGCACTGTAACACTTTGTCTGAGATGGCCACACACTTGGTAGTGTGGTACAGTTTTTAGAGTAAGCAGTAATATCGCGTTCGAGAAGAGAAAAGCTTGTACGTTAACCACTCGCGAGCTCACACCGATTCGGCTCGAAGGAGCAACATGTTTTAGATTGTAGTTAAGATCTGATTAAGGATTGAACGGATCGGAAGAGAGAGTTGATAATCTCACAAACGGGTTAATCGCAAACGAAAAACTTATAACTTTATTTTAGCGAAAATGTACAGAGACTAGCAAATTGAAATTTCAGGCGAGTTTTTAGCTCATGCCGTACTTAGGTGCTACTGGCTCAAAACAGAAGATTTGATCTTGAAACTGTCTGTATGTGTGTTTACATGGTTTCTCAGACTTTCTTGTGCAAACTCGACTATAGTTTCGCACAATTTTCGAATTTGGAAATTTTATTAAATTACGCTATAATCCTTATAACGTGCCGTAAGCTGTATTAATTCTTGAAACAAATTTGGCAATTTTCCAAAAAGTTTTACACACAACGAAATAAATATTGTGGCTGACTTCTGTATATTTACGATGAAATTGGCTTAATGTTGCGTGATGTGATAATATTATACGCTCGGTTAAATGCGGAGGTAAATCTTCCTGTAAATTACGAAAACAACATTCATTGTCGAGTTCCAGAACATTTTTAATCGATATAGAGCGATAGCTGTCTTATTTTTACGAATTATTGTATCGGTATGCCTAAAATTATCGGAGGGCCAAAACTGCGAAGTTTACTCTGCATATAAAGAGTTTCGAAATCAATCCTACCGACTTTTGCGCATGCGCTGTTTTAAAACGGAAGTACTGAGCATTTGCAACTGTGTCTGTACCGTCTACAACCGGAATTTAGTTTCTTATTTAAATTTCAAGTTGAATGGTGCAGCCTTTCTTCTGAACTTTTTAATACAAACATTTCTGGCGCGCACGTTATTTATTTGCTTTAATGGCGATTGTAGAAGACATTTACATATGTCCGATGCAATCATCCCTACGAAATGTGATGTACGTACAAGCTAGATTTCAAGACCAAAGACTGAAATAAATTATATATGTATGCCTCTTTGGCGTATTTTTATTATAATAGATTGAGGTGTGATTCTTAATATATAACATCATCATCAGTTATCAATAATTATTATAAATACATCCTTCAGATAGAATTAATATAATGTGTTTTATCAACAGCTGTACAAGGAAGTGGCTCCTAGGTTAAATTTAGGAGCGATATGCCAGCAGTTCTTGTCCTGCCACTTTTATTCTGGAGTACTCGAACTATGTCTTTGCTGTGCCGAGAAGGTGGATCCTAATAATACTGCTCTACACTACTATAAAAACAAGGAACCTGCAGATGACCACGAAGGAAGTTTCGCGTATATGAAGAGGTTACAAATATTTTGATTATATATTTTTTAAAATATATTTGTTAGTAAATATACAGCCGAAAATCACAGATGAATTATGAAATAAGTATATAACAAGTATATTTCGTTTAATTTTCTTTATTTTGATAATCCATGCAAAAGATGCTGCATCAGACGAATCAGTATGATTAATTGATCACGATAATATGATAATTGATCAATTTTTTTAACAATGTCTGATCGTTCTTAGTATGGTTAATTGCAATATGCTTTACCTGAGCCATGCTGTTATAAATGCGTGAAATAAATATAATGGAACTATAAAGTTTTTATTTATAGAACGATTTTTTTAAAGGTCATATACAGGGTGTCCCATTTTAACGTAGACACTGCAATATCTCGAAAACAAGAAATTTTCGGAAAAAATGTTTGAGAAAAAGATTATCAGGCTCGAAGGGAGTCATCTAGTAAAATACCTGAATTTTTGGCCTGGGGCCTAGGTTAGGCCCTATGAGGCCCAAGTTCATTTTTGTAAATAAAAACCCTTATTTTTTACTACAGATTCGTGTTGTATAAAAAAAAATAATCAAGTTTTATTCTTGATAATTTTTCCATAAACCTTTTGCAACAGACGCAAAAAGCTCTCCAAGTTGAGTTTTGAAATACGTTAAAAATTCCTGTTTATAAGAAAAAGGGGATTAGAAGGAGAGAAAGGGATGACGGTAGGGGATGAAGGAAATTGGTTAATAAGGCTATGGAGGAGGTGGATAGGGAAAGTCAAAGAGAGAAGAGGTGGGAGAAGATAAAGGAGTCCAGATACAACAGGTGGTATAAGGAGGTGAAAGGGATACCAGGATATCTAAGAAAAGAATGGGGGGAGAGTAGGTGGAGGAGAGTGGTGAGGTTTACGTTAGGGAATGAAGTAAGGGAAGCAGAGTACTGGAACGAAGAGGAAGGAACGGTATGCAGGGTATGTGAAGGGGAGGAGGAGACATGGGAGCATGTCTGGGAAAGATGCTCGAGGAATAGAGACGAAAAAAGAAATTAGGAAGAAAATGTAAGGAAGATACTAGGAGAGGAAGGAAGGAGAGAGGTGGATGAGGGAGGTAGAGTGGAGAAGAGAGAGTGAGAGTGAAAGAATGTGTGTGTGTGTGTGTGTGTGTGTGTGTGTGTGTGTGTGTGTGTGTGTGTGTGTGTGTGTGTGTGTGTGTGTGTGTGTGTGTGTGTGTGTGTGTGTGTGTGTGTGTGTGTGTGTGTGTGTGTGTGTGTGTGTGTGTGTGTGTGTGTCGTCTTTTACGTATAGTAAAAGACGATATCAATGTGAACTTTGAGATAAGCGTTGGTACGAAAACGAGTAATTTTGAATCGTCGTGTAAAATATAGTTTTGCTACGAAGACCGAGGGATGGGATGTTCGAGTTATGTTTTATTTTTTTTTATTTTTCTTTTCTCCTTGAATCCCCTCTTGGACACGCGACACGTACAATGGGCACGACTATTTATTTCTAAACGCAATAAGGCTTGTATTTAATAATTATAGAGAATATTTTTTTTTGTATCTTCTATTAATCGTTAACTTGTACGAAGTCACGTGTCTCGGAGAATTCTATGGAGAAACGCGAAAACACATAAAATCAGCATCGATGAAAATGACTCGTTAAGTAATTCTGACTCGAATGCGATTTTCCCTCGTCTGACTTTATTAACTTACAGGTGCTATTACAATCATTACTATTAATGTCTATTATCAATCGATAAGGATCCGCGTAGCACCTAAACAGAAATAATATTAACGAACATGGTACAAATTTGTTGCTGCAGGTTGGAGATTTATAAAGAATTTACGTCGATGTTGGACTACCTATATAATCAAAACATTTCGAATTCATTGACTCCAGCACTTTCAAGCAAAATTGGCTCCTCTTTATTTGATGCCCAGACTGCAATCACTGTTCCACTAAAGGAAGTGGTAAGCTATCGAATATTAGGTCATAGAATTGGAATATTTGTTCCATCTAATTAGTATTCCTTTTAGATGCACGAGATAATAGATGATGCTCTTCATTCACCATGTGAGATTCTTCATGCTTCAGTGTATACGTGGATGATAGAAAAAGGTCTTCATGGAGAACTAATAGCTCTTGCCGCACTTTCATTGAAAGATTATCTTATTCGAACAAATGCACCGGAATTGTTATGGCAATTTTATGAAAGAAATAAAAATCATGCTGATGCTGCTAAAATTCTTGAGGCTTTGGCGAGTAAAGATGGGTATGTTTTTCTTTACTTTTTGTTGTGTGCTAAATAAGCGCCTATTTAGTGTGTATGCACTAGTACACCATAATCGGTCAATACTACTCTATCTAACTCAACAAAAAATGCATGAAATTAAATTTGGTATTTTCAAAATCCAATCAATGTAATACAGGAAAGTAGAAACAGACGAAGGACATAATATTTTCTCTTATTTTATAATATGTTGTATACAGGGTGTTCTCATGGGAAGTTGCTGAAATCAATCAACTATTACTTAGACATTTATGCACAGAACGAGAAAAGTAAAGTAGCTTTAGAAGAGTAAATTTGTCAATTTTATTTACATGTGGACTTATCACAACCAGAAGTGTTTGCGTCACAATTTTATTGCGTCTAAGAATGTCATGTGAAAATTAATAAAAGATCATTGCTATGACGAAAAGCCAAAGAAAAAAGAAAAATCAATTGCAAATATTAAAAAAACGATTGGTAGTATCTCAAGATACATTTTATTAAAACGTATTTTTAATAGTTGTCGAAAATGACTTGATAACTGTACGAATTCTGACAATTTGCACTTTGAGAATATTTATAATTGAGATAAACAACTTTTCATGCCAATAGATAAAAATAATATATACTTGAGATAAGCAACTTTTCATATTATTGGATAAAAATAATATATAAATTCCTCTTAATAAGTAAACTTCTGGTTACATTCAGTCTACGTGTGAATGAGATTGACAAATTTCGTCTATTTAAAGTTACTTTACTTTTCATGTTCCCAGCGTGTATTTGAAAATACCAGCTGATTAGTTTTTGCAACTTTCCATGGGATACCCTGTACATACATACATATAGTCTTATAGTGTTTGAAGCTGTTGATAATAACTATTGTTGAAGGATTGACAATAAAAACTTTAACTACAAAAAAATGTGATTTCGATTTCAAACAATAGTGAAAGTATTTACTCAATTTCATTCATGAATGAAAATGTTGAATTTTTGTTATAGTCCAGATATGCCACTATCCCAACGAGTGGAGTACCTGGCGCGAGCTGTTGTGTGTATGCGTAGCGATCAAGCTGGCTATGCTCCCCGTCTAGGGGTCTTCCTACGGGAGTTGGAAGACAAAGTAGAAGTAGCCAGAATACAACAACAGGTGTGTAGATTTATACACTCTTCAATTACCAACAAATAGTTTATTTTACCAGCACACGTGATACGGTCGAATCTTGTTCATAACAATTCGGAATCTGGTGTTAATAAATATTGGGCTAAATAGGTTTTACGTGCGGGATGATCGCTTAAACCACGCAGTTGCATCTTATGTATTGACCATTACAACAACAAAAATTAATACTACAGCTGTGGTACTTTCAAACTGGAAGTTCTCGACAAATATAAATGTTACTGTTTCATCTATATTTTTTATCATTTTTCCTAAATTTCAACTCGATTAGTTAATTCTTTATATTAGTGTTGAAGTCTCTCACAATTATATAATTGTTATAAGTATCCGTATCATTAGAGACGGTATCTTCAAACTAAGAAAGATATCCAGTCTTTAGTGAACAACAGATAATCACTGACAGCAGATTCGGTGCACTAGGTGTAACTGTGTTTCACATCTTGACGCGTATGCTTTGTACCATGGCGTCAGGACGACACATTACAAAAGTCCTGCACCTTCGTGCGCTGCCAACAACACAGCGGTGCCTCCGACCTCCATCTCTAAAGATTTTGCCTTTCGATTTCTCGCAAAAAACCATGTCCCCCGGTTTTTTTTTTTTTTTTTTTTTTTATAGTATAGTGCCAGTGCATGGCCAAAGGTGCGGAACACCGAGTCCCCTGTAGACGCCCTCGTGGAGTCGGGACGCGGCACCATGGAAGTAGGCGAAAGGGACACGGCCACCACTATTTTGATTTATTAAGGAGTTTATGGGATAGCCAGTTTTTGTAAGTACCGCGAGAGCGGTTTTATTTAGGGAATACTTCGCGGAAAAAGATAGCCGAGCGGGAGTGATGTGGACACACGGATGCCTAAGGTGGCGATCTACGTCAGAGCGCATACTTCCTATGAAGAAAAAGCTCATCTTCAACGAGAGATCTATTAGGATCGCGAATCGCGTCACGAGGGATTCGCGGATTCGGTAGGCACGCCGAAATAGGGCAGGCTAGCCACCAAGAGTCGGTATAATAGTGAGCCGCCGTTGGGGAGTACACAATACGCGACGGAATTTATATTGTAAAATCCTTCGTTTATTTAATAGTAATAAACGAAACAGTATTCTACGTGCTGCGTAGTCATTTTGTGCGTCTATCTACTGACTGAAATTTTCTTTCATTGTCCCCATGTTCGTCTCTACCATTTTCAGTGCGCTGAGGCTGATTGTGAGCCGCTGGGAAATGTGGAAAACGGTCGTGGTGAGGGATCAATAACTGGCGCCCAACAATTAGATTTTCGGATTTTTTCTCGATTTCAGCACGTTGGGAGCGGCCACGGATTATTTGTAGGCAACGTCGATGGACGGCAAGTGTCACAGCGTATAAAGTACTCAGGAAATCTCTCGCTTGGGATATTTGGTTCTCTGTCATACTGTGTATACATACGGTTAACCCGCGAAATCAAATTCAAAAAACTGTTTTATGCTATAAGTTTAAATAGTATAAAAGAACTAGAATCAAGGGATTTTAGTGATAAATAATTATTTCTTATTCTTGGTGTGTTACTTCGAACAGTTTTCTTTCTTTCTCTTTCAAATACAGAAGTAGAGCGGATATTTTTAATTATTTGTGAGTGATGTCTGAATAAGAACTAAATAAAATCAGTAACGAGTATCGTAATTCAGTTTGCCAAATTTGATCTTAATTTCAACCGCAAGTCAGGCGGGCGCCAGTCAATTGTTTTCTCACCGGGAATTAACAAACCGGTATGACCTGGGAGTTGGGGTAAAACAGTCCCAACTCCGCTAAAACGAGAGTTCTCACGGGACCTATCAGAAGAAACGATAGCTTAACGGATCTTGTCGGTTTTTGGGGATGCGTAAAGTCGGAAACGCAATTATAGGAGCTGATCTTGGGGGTTGCGTGAAATGAGCAAACGCAACTAGGTGCACGACCATTTAGGCCTGCTAGATTGAGGTAGAAAGCGTCGAGGTAAGCGTCAAATAGGGCGAGATACAGAGATCAACGTATCGAGAACTTAATAGAACGAATCGGAGCTGTAAAATAGAAAGCCCTTCACCAATTAATAAATTGGGAGTCCTCACCGGAGCTGGGGCACCTAATCCATGAAATCCGGGAACTGTATCCTGGGGACACTCAGATGGGTACTGCACTAGAGCACAGCACTACACCTTCGAAACACAGGTAGGAAATCGGTAGGATTTCTTAGATATAACGAGAGCAACGCGAGAACTATACAAGCGGGAACCTTTTAGACCATACACGAAACACAGCTAGAAAAACTATCAACAGATAGTACGTGAGCACGAGCCAGCTCGTGTCACCTCGATCAGTGTCGCAAGACGGACTTTCACAATATTCAAATTCGAGAACTAATCATTCTGATTGGTTGAAATCCTTGTATCCGATAACTCTTATCCATTCCCTCGAGTTGTCTTTTTAAACAAAATGGAGAACTTTCCTTAGCGAATCGAAGATCCTCTACGGCCGCTTCCCCAAGGTGTTGGGCGACAGCTGGGCATCACACCCAGAGGGATCCTCCCCTGCCCTTAACCGTATCAAAAACTACGCTTCCGCCCGCTATACAGCCCTTTGCCTCTCTCCAATGGGGCGCCGGTATCCTACCCGGACTTCTGCCGGTCTGTGAAGTCGTCTCCGTCGGATATTCTCCTCTACCAGGCCACTCGGTACGACGAGACTATCCCTTCACGGTAGATTGAAGCATCTTGACCTCAATTAAACACTAACGAATCTTCGGAGAACGTTGGCGTAACTGTACGAATCAATCCAAGAGCGTAGCTTCCGAGCAGAGTGGCGACTTAGAGGGATCCAGGAAACGAGAATGTTGATCGAACGGATGACGGATGTGCGTGACATAATTGCGCATACATACATTTTAATATAGCAGATGATTGGTTATACTTTATGTTTTACACGACTGTATACAAATTTTGTTCCAGATCTTGAATACTATTTGCAACCAGCAACATCTTTACGACCCGATGACAGTACGTGATGCCAAGTTGAGATTGAACTCATCACTAATTCCTATTACACAGGTTTGTAAGATTAATATTTTTCTTATATATTATATATAGGGAACCTGATTATTAACTCTCTGAATGTAATCCGTTCTCACTGTGGGTTAAACGAATTGTGCGATGAAGCTAGGTGTACTGTCGTATCGTCGTCGTATCATCCATACGCGGGCTTTACTCAAGTCTTACAGCGCACTTCAGCGCATGTTGTAAAAGAACGACATTTAAAATACATATACAGGAAATTAAATGTTTAATATATTCCATAAATAATTATTTATTTTGTTCAGAGTTTTTAAAAAACGACTTCGAAATGTTTTTGCTGCATAACAATGAAAACACTAACAGTGCAGCGGAAACGCCCGTACGTACGAAAACCAAGTATGTGCCTGAAATGTAGGAGAGAGAAGGTCGTCGCACCGAAAGGAGGAGGCTGAATGGACGGGCCTAACACGCACACAAGCACACGAGCACTGGTAGTTTCCTAACTCTCGCTCTACTTCACAGCGACAAGGGATTGCGGGGTTTTCTATTCAGAGGGTTGACAGGAATTTAACAGTACTAAAATCGTAAATATATTGTATTTAAAATAACATACTTGCACTAAGAAAACGATTTTATAGGTAACTTATGGTAATCTTTCATAAATTTTCAATCGTTCGAAATAAGTACAATTCAAGATCAATAAATCACTATTATCATTCGGGGAATTTATTTTTTATTGAATTAACGCAAATATAGTCTATTTAAATATATCCTCCTTTTAATAAGACACTCTTATAGAAAATTATTGAAAAGACGCTATAAAAAACGGATTTTAGTGGTGGTGTACTTATTCATACTTCTTTTTAAGCCTCTTTAAAGGTACTTTGAATCTAATAGAGCGCTAGGGGCACTATTATATTGTTATTATTCCGTCTGTTAAAATGGGATCAATCCCGGATGAGGAATAATCAACTTTATCTATTTGAAGTGCAGAAGGATTGATTGTGTTCTCAATGGAGAACCGGCGCGATGCACTTATTAATAGAGAGTCGCCTATGAATTAGACACGGTCACACAGATACGAAAACTTCATTTAACTAAAAGGGAAAAATATTACAAACATGAGTAATCATCATATGACGGCCTGTGCTTGTAGCGGCAAACGTCCGCATTTAGTGCCACTAACACACCCGAGTTTTTTCAAAACTATTACAAAGTATGAGTCTCGCGAACAAGGATCGTAAAATTAATAACATGTGCCAGGAAGAAAACTCAGAGTTTGCATATCTTTGCCATTTCCGTTGTCACCACACTCTGATTGGTGAACTTTGACCGGCTCCCGTTTACAAACTATGCACTTTTGAATAAAACTAAGGTCATTTTCGTAACCTGCTTTTGAACCTGATTCTCGCTACGTGGAGATTATCATCGAATTTTGGGACACCCTGTATGCATAACCCGCGCGCAGCGTCAGAGTACAACAGTGTGTACCTCGAAAAACAATGCACATCGAAAAACAATCGCACCGGCAGGAAACTGAAAAATCTGAAGTGCCTACGTTTTTTGGCGACATCTCAGTTTGATTGGTCAACTTTAAATGGCTCTCGTTTGAAATTTAGGCACTTTTCAACAAAAGGAAGGTCATTTTCGTGATCAGCGATGCCCTCCGAATATGGCTGTATCCAGTTAGTGAGGATATTTAGAAACACCTTGTATATTAGTTAGATTAATTAGACACCCTTAATTTAATTTATTTTGATTAAATGCTATAATCACGGTGAGTGAAATACACACTCGAAACAACTATACCAGTTTTATTATTTCAATAACGGTTTAATCCACTCAAATCTGCATTGATTGGTCCAAACAAATTCCTCGTCATTTTAGCTTTCCAGCTAACGCTGATATTCCATTTTTTTTTATAAGGAAACCGTTTTCGATGTCCCCCTTCGATTTTGTTCGTTTGTTGATATGTTATTTTTCATCAAAATTTAAGTGACACGTATTTTTTTATCTGTGGAAAAACGGTTTCAAGGGATGAAATCACCCTCAAAGTTAGGCACCTCCAACGGTAGTTTCGCAGTTTCGCATATTTATGGTTCTAATATCAAAATCAATCCAATTGAAGAATAATGTTCATGGCGAATAATGAAAAATGCCTTTTGTTCGATTCTGATGGGGTGAAATTATACAAATTTGCAGGGATTCAAATTTGAAAAATATTTGTATAACAAAAAACAACAACCATCATATTTCAATGAAACCAATTGCATTCGAAAGATTAAAAAAAAATAAGGAAATACGTGTATTTTGGCTTTTCGAAAAAACTTTGTTTAAGGAGTATTCTATACATGTAGAACCAAACTTCCGTTAAAAACCGCATTATTTTGCTTAAATATGCCTTTCTAATCATTATAATATTCTTTTTATACATTCATTAAAGAGGTTACTCGCTTCAATAACATTCGGTTGAATTTTTTTTAACAAAAACCACCCCTTTGTATTCTAACCCCCGTCTAACGGCATTTCTTTTACGCTCTAATTCTAAGGGTTTTGGAGGTCGCTGAAATTGATTTTAGACTTTAAATTTTGAAATACAATATAAACAGATACTGTAAAAATTCAGTTTTTCCCATTCTTGTTATTTCGAGGAAATTGCGGGAAAAAAGAATTATAGATTGCTACAATTGACATACAACAGTTCTTATACCACTTGAAATGTAAAAAATTCTTTAATGTGCAGAAGAAACAAAATATAAATGCCTTATCTCGCAAACCCGAAGTTTAAATCTTGTTTGTTTACTACAATATGTTGCGACGTTATTCCTCATACGACAGCGAGACATTCTTTTTCGGTAGCTGAATATTTATGTTCCGCGGGGGTAAGAGTACGACTCGCGTAGGCTATTACGTGTTCGGTATCGTTTTGTTGTTGCGTTAACATTACTCCTAGCCCTATGTCACTAGCATCTGTTTGTAACGTGAACGGGAGCGAAAAATCAGGACAAGCAAGTGTCGGCGCGGAAGTCAATGCGGATTTTATCCGTTCTAAGGCCCTCTCTTGATTTTCCCTCCATTCCCACTCTTTACCCTTTTTCAATAAAGGTTTAGGGGCGCAGCAACTGAGGCGAATTCCGGAAGGAATCTACGGTACCAAGGCGCCATCCTTAAGAGCCTACGTAATTGTTTAAGGTTTTGTGGTGCGGGGTACTCGAGTATAGGCTGGATTTTTTCCGGATCAATTTGCAGACCGTTCTCATTAACCATAAAGCCGAGATATTTGACCTGCGAACGACAAAGTCGCATTTCTCGGGGTTTATAGTCAAGCCTGTTCGCGAGATAATTTCTAGGACTTTCTTTAACCAGATAAGATGGTCTTCAAAGGTTTTTCGTGACTACGATAATATCGTCCAAGTATGAGAAGACGTGCGGCTTCATCTCGGGCCCTATTAGTCGATCGACCAGGCGCTGGAATGTGGCGGGCGCATTCGTCAACCCATATGGCATTCGTTTAAATTGAAACAGTCCTTTCCCGGGAACGGTAAACGCGGTTATTTCTTTATTTTCTGTAAATCTGAAAATATGCTTGACTTAAATCGATAACAGACATATATTTCGCGGCACGCAACTTGTCTAAGATACTGGACATATAGGGTAAAGGGCAGGCATCCTTTTTCGTGACGGCAATTACTTTGCGGAAATCAAAGCAAAAACGGTAAGTGTTGTTCGGTTTCTTGATTATGACTATTGGTGTAAACCATTCGCTAGAAGAAAGTTTGATAATTCCGGTAGCTAGCATTGAGTCGACTTCGGTATGAATAGCTTCTTGAACTTTTGGCGAAACGGGATAATATTTTTTTTTTATCGCGCGATGTCCCTGTACGTCGATAACATGCTCAGTTAAATTAGTAAGACGAGGTTTCTCTAGAGGAGGCAGCAAATGATCTTCTAGGAATTTTTGTAAATGTGCGGACTCGGCGGGAGAAAGGGAGGTGATTCCAGAGCACAGCTCTGCGGTAATTGTGGAAGTAGGTTGGTTAGTTCAAAAGTCTTCAAGAACGGTAGCGGAACGCTACCCTGAGAAGCACCAACGACAATTCGCGAAATCAATGACAATGCCAAACTGTTTGATGAAATCTAACCCCAATAAACACGGAATGTTCAGTTTTGGAAGTAAGCGTACTTTTGCAAATTTAGTCTGGTCTCGAATAGTGATAGGAAGTTCGGTTTCACCTTCGGCTTTGCCTCGTGAGCCATCAGCGTAGACTACAATACTCGTGGGAGTATCTGCAATCGAGCAGTCAAAAGTTTTAATTAATGCAATGCTTTTCGGACCTAAATAGGTACGCGCGGAAACGGAATCAACGACAGTTAAAATTGGTTGGTCCTTAATTCTGACGGTTAAATATAAGCGGTCTTCTAAGCGTGTACAGCAAATAGGATTGCAGGCTTCGGCAATAGAGATATTGGAATAGACGAGTTAGTATTTGGCGCGACAGAATCAGTGGTTTCGGATGTGAGGGTAGGCTTAAGGACCGAGGTAGTCTTCTTAGTGTCCCCTTAGGCATTTCCCTGACACTTTGGGCAATTTTTAGTGGTTAGCCCGGGCGTGCCACAACGATAGCAAAAGATTTGATCCGCGTACGTACACTCGTTATATCGATATCCTGGTTGGTTACAGTTCCAACAGGAGAACGGTGATCGCGGAGGCAAGGAAAAAGAGTTCGAAATATTATTTGCGACGGCGACATTTTCGTTCTCATGATCCATGGCCGCAGCTGGAGCTTGAACATCAGATGACCGATTAGGAGTTGGTGGACGCGCAACCGGGATGCGCAACGAGTTCAATGATCTGACTGCGGGGGTCGAAGTCGGTGAGTGTCCTTGCACTGGGTTCACTACGGAACATATGGTAACGGAGGATTTGTTTAGCCGGGATAAGGGTACGCGGGCGGAACGGAATACGGATAGGGAGGAAAAGGGAACATGTAAGGTTCCCACTACATCCCATGCGTTTCGACCGTAGGATGACTCGA